GGGGGGGGGGGGAGGAAGTCTAGAATTAGTGGATTTCCATGCTGAATAGTTCAGGTCTAGTCTTTTGTTGTAATAGTCTTTTTTTTTGTTGTTGTTAGGCTGAAACATTGACAATCAATATTATTTTTAAAAAGTTTAAAATTAATACCTAAAAATATAAAAAATAATATTTAAATAAGATATAAAAAGCATAAAGATATCTTAAATTATTTTGGAACTACTAAATGTCCAGTAACTGTATCAAGTTTTTACTAAATTTGCATGTTAGTCCATAGTAGTTCCCTTTAGAAAATTCAGTAACTGTGGTGCCCACTGTCTGTATTTGTGGAACAGTTCAGGCTCCCTCTGATGACTGAAGTTGTACTTGAGTGGTTTCAGTCCTCCTTTCACCTTTCAATGTGTTCCTGTACCATGACGTTTCTTCCATTGTAGCTAATGTAGTGTGGCAGATAGAAAGGCCGAAATGAGTTGGTGTGTGTATCTACTTGCATTAGACCTCTCACACGTTTCAAGACTGGTATCCTCATTTTGGCAAATGCTGTAATTTAGACCTCTTACAGTCTTGAAATTATTCATGCAGAATGTCTTTATAGCTGTTTTCACCTCTTCACTTGCAATGTTATTCTCTATTGAATGCATTTTGAATTCAGGATTTTTTTTTTTTTTTGTTATTTTTCTGCCTGAATGATCACTGGTGGTATCCAGTGGGAAACCAACAGTTCCAGATGTCTTTTATCTTCTTGCTGAGTGATGAACTTCAGAACTCTTCAGTTGCAGCAATCCCTTTAGTCATGCAGCTGTTGTCGGTAGCAGAATAGTTTCTGCATGGATACCCTTGCGTTGTCATCACTGAACACGAACTTAAGTGCATCACTCTTAGAATCATAGATTCATTCTTGCTGGAAAAGGCCTTTAAGTTCATCAAGTCCAACCATAAAGTGAGCACTGCTAAGTCCACCACTAAAACATGTCCTCAAGCGCCACATCTACATCTTTTAAATACCTGCAGGAATGGTAACTCAACTACTTTCCTGAGCAGCCTGTTCCTGTGCTTGATAATCCTTTTGGTGAAGAATTTTTTTCTAATAATTTTTCTTGGTCCTTACATCCATATAGCTTGGGCTATAGAGCTAAACTTGCTTAGACCAGCAGAGCTGTGTTCATATGGTCTAAAATGTCTGTATGGACACTGGTACTGGGCAGTTTAGCACCCAAAGGAACTTGTTTACTGTTACAAAATGAAAACAACTTACAGTTGATGGACAAACAAAATCAGAACTATTTCTAATATTTATAATAATGTTTTTGTATTAAGTATAAACTAGAAATCAACTGTATATAAAGATGAAAACATATACAGGTAAGGGTAATTTTTTTTTTCATGCCTGAAAATAGGGAGAATTAATGAATACTTGAGAAGGGCTTTTGTTTCAAAGAGTACACTCAAAACTGCCTATAGTCAGAAAGCTTCAAAAGTATTACATATTTTAAAGGTTGGGTAATACGTTTGATATGTTTGTGTTTTTCATATGCTTAATGATTCTAATTGTATTCTAGGCAGCAAAGGAACAAACCCAGGACTTGATAGTAAAAACCACAAAACTCCAGGCAGAAAAGTATGTATATAACCTCATTTATTTATTTCTTGAAAACATGACTGTACTGATGGAATTTTCTTCTAGATCTGATTCTGCCACTCTTATTTTTCAGTAGTAACTTTGGTGGTTTTTTTTTTTTTTATTTGTACTTTGTTTTTAACACTGTGTTTGTAGCTCATTTGGAATAAAATACTGAACTCTGTTTATTACTAGAAGATACAAAAAGGTAAGAACATGTGTTAGTGCTTGTTGCAATAGAAGTTGGCCTTTCAGGGAAGAGAATCTCTTATAATGTACA